ATAATACAAATAAATAAAATACAGCTTTGTTATTGTCCAAAATTTAGTAAAGGATTACTCCGTTGTCTACCACGATTTGGTGAAATCGTATTTTTTTGTACAGGTTCCGCCTCTTGAAGATCAAAAATATTAACAAAAATGAATACAGCACCCTCGAAAACCCCTAGGGACCACCTTGACTTTTGTGTGAGCTCTTCAGTACAGGTGCCACGATTTATGTCGCGAAATCGGCGATTTCAGACCACTGTGCCCTGCTCGTTGGCGCCGAGCAGGGCTCAACAGGTAGGGCGATTGCGGGGGAGCGCAGGGTGCGGACGGGAGGGGGAGGGGTCGCGACCGCCGAGGCGACCGCCCTGCACAGGACCGACTCAGCACGCGCCGCCAACGCAAAGCCAGAGCGGCCTCTAAATGAACTAACTCTCAATCGTGTTTAGAGGTAAATTGTACTTATAGAGCCGCGACCATTTTACTCATAGAATCATCGGAATGATTTAAAATCAAAAATGTTATGCACATTTATGGCATAGATGTAATTTCATGTACATTACTTTTTCGCGGAGGCAAATTTCTTGGAGGGAAATTAGCATTACGAAAGGATCTAGATGGTTTTCCCCTAGAGGTACGGGAACCGTGCCGGAGGGTGGGAGGCTGGCTCACCCGAGCTGGGCGCGTAGCCGTTGTAGTCGAGCGACTCCAGGCTCTCCCTCACGGCCTGCACGGCCTCCTCGGGCGGTCTGAAGTTGCCGAAGATGGTGGGGTCGCCTGTGAACACGAAGAAGAAGAGACATGAGCCGCGAACAGAAGCTGAACCCCGCGGGGAGGAGCTTTGGGAGGCATCGTCCAGTAAGTTTGCGCGTGCTTTCCTTAGACTCGTTCGACAACTTGCAGGAGCTCGGCGCCTGCGAGACTCCGGGTAGGCCACCCCGCAGTGCAGGCATGCGCTGCATGCAAGAGTCTGCCTACCTATCAGGCGCCATGCGACGTCACACGGGCTGAACTTGGAGGTTTCGAATGAAGGACGTACTGTCTGAATGAAGTGCTGCGCTTCAAAATAACAGACCAGCAGCATGTCGTAAAACAATTAAAAGTAAAATTAGTCCCTCTTACGTACCGGGTGTCCGTAAGAATACGCGGCAGCTCGATGGGTTGCCTACGCACTAGGGTGCAGGCGCGGAGGGCGAGGGGGGAGCGGTGGAGGTGCGCACCATCCAGCGAATTCCGGACAGACTATAGAGGTGATGTTTAGGACCAAATTATTTTTCAAAGAATGTGAATAAGAGGGATTACCCACCCCGCTTTTACACGGGGCCCCGCGTGCTTAACTTCGGAGTTCGGATGGGGTCCGGTGTGTCAAAGCCAGCAGCCAGACTGTTAGATCCGACCAACTGTTGACCAGGGTTGTCGCCTACCCGCTTAAACAGGAACGACGGGTACCCAATTTGTTTTG